GCTGGGGTGGAAAATCTGAGTAGCACTTTCCTGTTTATTTCATTTCTGAATCTGTTTACAAATCGCCTAATCTTGAACTGGTCTTGAACTGGTCCAGCTTCCTTTTTACTCAGTATTATTCTCAGAAATTACTCAGAGCTGGTTAGATAACTTGTTTGTGTATATACAGTTCTTCAGCGTTAAGCTTTGGAAAGAAAAATCATTGTTTGTTCACTTCATCGAAAAGGGTTGCTATTTCTGTTCTCAAAACGTTATGAAACTGGAAGTGTTGTGAAATAACTTCCCTTTTTCCTTGGTTGCTTGGGATATAATTAATGGGTTTAAGCTGTTTTCCCAAAGACATGCTGTTATATCCCTTGTTTAGATCAATTAGAAGTTATCACTTCATGATTATAGGCTTTAGATCAGACTTGCTATTCTTTTTTATATAGAAAGAAGGAGGGCTACCTTCTAAATAGATTTTTTCAAGTATTTGGGCAATCTGTCTTGCAAATCTTTCGTTTGACATCTGCTTTTCTATAGATTATTTTTTTCTGTAATGCCTCCGAGCCAGTGTTTCTTCTCATGGTTTCTATCCAATCCTTCGTGCTATGACTAGGTGATTTGAAAGTTATAGATCAACAGACAGTGTTTAAACCTTTATTTCAGGCACATAGAAGACTTTGTAAATGACAGCAAAAATATAGCAGCCCAACCTGAAGGCAGTTCAGTCCAGCAGGTAAGATACCACCAAAACTGAGGTAAAATCTTTGTGAATTAAAGTGAAATCAGTGATCCCTTGATATGAGTCCAAATAGCTGAAACAGTGTGTCTAACCAGAGAGGCTTTACCAGAGAGAAAATTAGATGTACACAGAAACTCCACTCCACTGGAATACTGAGCCTGGGAATGTGATACAGGAACATGTCCTAAACTGACTTGTGATTTGAGGCATTCACCTTACGTAAATAACGAGGCTGAAAATGAGGATCCTGTATTTTGCTGTTTTCAGTAATTCTTCAGTGTTGCAGGAGGGAGGGGCAGAAGTAAATCGCTGGAGGAAATACCTGGACAAGGACAGTGAAGATCAGGAAGATGAAGAGGAGGAGGCAGGTACAGAAAGGCAACAGTTCTGTTCCAGGAGGGAAAACACTGTGGAAGAACAAAGGTACCGAGGGAACTTTTTTATTTGTAATTCCTGCCCCCAAGTGGTGACATTTGGTTTGTAGGTGTGGGAGGTAGCTCATCTCCGGCAGCTGAACAAAGTACAAGTTGGAATGTACAACCTGAGCTGGGCACGAATTTGGTATTTGGGTGTAAAACCTCTCTTATTGCTAGGGCCATGCATTTTATGAACACTTCTGGTGATTTGTGAAAATGAAATCACAGTGGAGCTAATCTGTCTTCTTTGTGAATGGTTTTCTTGGCCAGGAAGCACCAGAAGAGCCTCCACTCTGGTGATGTTCAGGAGTATGCAGAAGAAAATGGAGTTTTCCAGCTTGCCTACCAAGCCAAAAAGGTTAAAACCACTGAGATATTTTAGTTGTAGAAGATACTTCCTACCAGTAGAACAAAACTGTTCTCCTGACCTGTTTTGTGTCATAATTCTGAATTTTTACGGGTTATCTTCTGCTCTTCTATTTGAACAATGGGAGGAGAAGACAATTGTGTCAGGAGTTTCTCTCTGAAAGGTTTTCGTCAAGCAAAACCAATGCCAGCTTACACAGGCTGAGTGCTTGAGCCACATTCCTCCATCCGTGGAGCTGCAGTCTGTGCTGCTGTGCCTCACTGAGCACTGGGGCAGCACGCGATCGTTAAGGTTACTGTGATTATCTGCAGTGCCAGGGAAGTTGTTCTCAGTCTCCACAGCCCAGAGCTCACAGACCCGCCCAGTGCATCAGCTTCAGAGGGCTGGTGAGAAAATGGGTGCATGGGAAGGACACGAGTGCTCTTTCTTTGCCTGCTTCTGTGCAGCCTGGCCGTGCGTGCTGGCTTCATAACCAAGCTCTCTTTCTTCTTACAGCGCAAGAAATGTTTAGTAGCAGCGCCTGGTCAAGATGATGGAGGGGCTGTTTCTGGAGACAGAGTAGTTTCTGAATCCATAGTGCCTGAGGAGAAGACACCAACTGTTCATACCAAACCCTCAAAGTGGGAAAAGTTTCTCTCGTGTTCAGAGAACTGTAGTGACACTGCTGCCAGCGTCACCCTGTCACCACAGGAGGGCAGCGGACGGTTGGGGCTACACAGCACTGCTGCAGTGGCCAGTAGATGCCCCGAACAGGCTCAAGGATCTCTACGTCGAGGTACAGGTTTTGAATTTCAGAAGTGTGTTGCTAGCACTGAGCAGCTTGCCTCAAAACTGCCTGGCACCGTGGTACCCAGCACCAGTTACTCAGTTGAGGAGGATGTGTTGTCCAGAGAACCTCGAAGCCAATTCTTGAGGGCAGGATCTGGTGCCACAGAGCCCACTGCAGGAAGGTGCTGCTTGGCTGGCACAAGGAGGACAAACACGCTCATTAACTGTAACACTGTGCCAAGGCCTAGCAGCATTTCTTGTGAACAGCTCTTCTGCACCAATGAAGACTTTGATGATGATCTCTGAGAAGTTCAGACATCACTTCCTTGTTTGTGTCTCTAAAGTATTTGGTATGTTGAATACAGAGTTGATTTTGAACTGCAGGTGGCCTTACTCTTAAGCCTATTAAAGCTGTTTACTTGCTTTCTGGCTGTGTTTCAGGGAAGGGTACGAGGGTGGAAGAGATTGTTACGCTGGGCAAGTCCTAGGGTTACAGTGTTGGCTAGCAACCTCAGCAGCTAGAAATAAGAATGGAAGTAGGTCAGCTTGCAGGGAGAAAGCTCCCAGGCTGTAAGGATGCCTGGCCGGTACAACTGAATTCTCCATTACAAACTACAACTCTTTTCCCTGTACTAGTCCTTTGTTTAGATCTCCCATAGCAACCCTTTCTTCCAGAGCTACAGAACAGGCTTTGGAAGCAGCAACAGATTTGATTTCTCCTCAGAAGTGCAGCCCTAAGGGCACCCCGAGGTATGTACGAAAAGCCAGGCCTACAGTCCTGGGCAGTCCCCCTTGCTGAGGGAGCTGCACCATGCAATCACATGCTCTTTCCTTAGCCTAGTCCCTCCACTCTTTTTTAAAAGTTACAATAAACAACACAGCTCTGATAGTTAAACAAACAGACAGACGCATCATGAGGAGTAGTATTTATTTTACCTCCATTCTACAAGTGCTTAGGAACATGAGACAGAAACCCTTAGCAGGAAGAAAGACGAACCGGTGAGCGAGGTGTGCTGCGTCACCTGCTTTCAGTTAGAAGGAAAGTGCTCTTTGTTACAGACTACTACAAGTGAGGTGGCTGCTTGGAGTACTGGATGGCATCCAGCGCTGCCCCAATGTCACAGTTCTTTGTCTGCAGGAGTCGAGTGAGCCATCCACCCTCATCGGAGAAGCCCATAGAGAGCATCTGGGACAGAGATTCAATGAGGCGAGGGTCTGCTTCTGTTAAGAGAATAGTTTAAAGTTGAAATACTTCATGTAACTGGCAAACCAGCCAAGGGTCTGATACCACACAGTAGGTAAGCTGGCACTAATCCTAGTAAATCTACCATAGCTGATTAAACATTAGAAGACATGCTCTCCTTTGTCTCCCAGAAGAGCAGATGTTTGGGATAAAAGATACGTAACTAGCTAAGAAAACCGCTGAGCCAGACTCAGCTGGCCTTGCTGTAGGACTGTGTGCTGCTGATCTCTGTTTAGGGGCCTTGTATCCTGTTACTGGCTCCTGCCAGAAAAATGCTTACAGTCACAGGATGTACTAGTCTGCGTCCTGCATTAAAAGGCTCTCTTGAAGAGGACACAGCAAGGACACGATTTAGGATACCACCTTTTTTCATGTTTCTCAAATGGTGTATTAGTCTAAGGTCAGAAGTCTTAACTGCCCCCATTCAAGACGAGAGTCCGTCTCTAATGGTTCAAGAGCCACCGTACCTGCTAACAAATTTATGGACAAGTTCAGCTGTAACTTATGTGGCCTTGGTTTCTAACATCTCTAAAAGCAGGTCTGCTCAGGTGGGGCAAGCTGGCAGTTCCTGAATTAAAATTATTCTCAGCTATGAAACCCACGCACATTCTCATACCTGGTGGGAGATGTGGGTAGAGGGCAGCTTCTCGCAGTCCTGTAGGTCCTGGTTGGGGAGGATCTTGAGATACATCCAGGGAGCTGGGACCCTCTGCCTCTGGCATTTGCAGAGACTGCAGTTCACCTGTGGAAGGATCCACTTCTTTGGAAGATAAGTGGGTCCAATCCTCATCACCCCCCGATGAACTGCTGGACTCGCTGTGTTCCTGAAATGGAAAGCAAGAAGATCCAGGTGCCACAGTGCCTTCCAGGTAAGATGCATATTCCTACCATCTGTCTTTAATAGAAGAGTTACATCCACAACAAGTCCCACCACCTTTCCTGTAAACCTGTAATGCAAAGATGCTGCCTATCACTTAATCTGCCAACTTCTTATTATTGAATGCCACGATGCATGCTCAGTTATTACCTTCCCTTTTAGTAAAGCCTCAGCAAGCATGACTGCATCACAGTTGTACCTGGGACTGGAAGCTGCCATCTTCCATTTGTGTGGGCACGGGATCTATCACCATGTCCTGTATCTGCTCTGCAACACCATTTACTTCTGCAGCAGCATCTGTGTTGTTCCAGTCTGGTTTGGCCTGAACGTTCTGGTTCAGAGTGCCACTGCTTGACTCGGCACTGTTCTCTTGATTGGGAGCGGCAGGGTTCACTTTGCTTCTCTGTCCTCCATGTTCCACATCAATATCAACTTCAATCCCTAGAAGCACATTTGAGATGGAGCAAGTTTTATAAGGACTTTTCCAAAGCACAGTCCTGAATGAGCATAGATCAGTCCTGGTCTAAATGCCTTATGGTTTCTGCAATCCTACGGTTTGCCATTTAACATGTAGGAATTAAAATGCAAAACATTCTTTAAACAAAGAACAGTTAAGCACTAAACAGTCATCCTCTAGCTAGGCAAGCCATATATTGAGAGGGTCAGGGCAGAAGTTATCTATGTCTGCATAAGCCAGGCAAAATCCTGAGTTATCACTCACTTAAAATTAGTGTTACAGTGGTGACATGTTAATGAAATCTTTCCTCATTTCCTCCTAAAGGAGGGCTCTGAAAAGGTACCAAGTGGCTGCTCTAAGCCTAGGCATTATTAGTGCCAGGAGTAAATTAAGCCTTCAAGGCTTAGTAGCATGAGGTAGTTCCAGTATTGATAACAACAGCTGACTGGTGCTCCTGTTCAAAGAACTTTTAAGTCCATCGCAGGAATTGGGGTAACAAACTGTAAGTCACTTACCCAGGGGGCTCAGAAAAGCTGCAACGCTCTCCCCAACATTCTTTAAGAAGGTGACATCGGGGTCCTGAGGCTGGCTGTTAGTAGAAGCTTCCAGAAAAACAATTTCTGTTAGCACACACAGAAGCTTTCGCACACATAGAAGCTCAGA